TATCAATGTGAAGAAACACATTTTTGAAGAATTATGAGCACAACTGATGGGTGCAAATCGCTGAGATCGCCAGGGAGAAGTTCTTGAACATCGTCGAGTGTATCGATTAGTGAAAGACATTTCGTCTGGAAAAAAAAGTAAAATTGAAAAAAAAATTATCTAATTAATCGATACCTTTAATTTTTCGAGACGATATTTAGTCGAAATTTGTAATAACTTCTTAAACTCCTTCTTAGACACATTTATGAGGAAAGTTTCACATTTTCTTACTACCAGCGACGTAATATACATATCTGCAACGAGCAAGATTCCTTCGACGGTTGAATCTAGAAAAATTGGAGAATAAAAATCGTTCGTTCCAGCTTTCAGAAATCACCACCAATCGCAGATTCTCCGTAAAGAATCTCCAGAAAATGCTGAAAATCTTCTGGCTCAACTCCGGTCAGTGGGATTTCGGACATTTTGGATTCACAGAAATTTCCAAGGAAAAGAGTGTTGAAGAAGGAAGATTGAGCGGCGAGGTACTGAAAAGTTTGGAATTTTTTCAGTATCAATAAGGAAATTTGAACCATTTTTGAGACATAGAATTTGGTGTCCTTCACCACCAAAATCATATCGGAGACGTCTTTTTGTGATTCATCGAACTTTCGAATCCTCTTTTTTTCGAAGCCAGTCATTCCTAAAATCTAAACTTCAACTTCAGCTGTCAAATTAACATCGACAAGATAATAGTCTATATTTGTCCATTCCAGAAAACCATCACATCCAAAACACCTTCATTCTCAAAACAGTGTTTCGTAGTTTTAGCGACTTTTTCGTAGTCATGTCCCATCATTCTGAACTCCAACTTTGACTCAATTGACCATTTATCACCGAGAAGAGCAATGGGTTGACAATCAATAAAAAATTCAAGATGGCTTTCGTTGCGTTTCACTTTCATGTGCCTGAAAGGAATGAAAAACGATAATAGGAGCAAAATGTTGGAAGGAAAACTACCAATTCACATTAAAATGTTCTTCACTTTGGGTCGTCGCAAAGTCGCCTACTTCAAAATTCGCCATATTTTTAAACACGTATTTCAGCACAACGCCTTTTCGAGAGCCTTCTTTTTCTTTACTTTGATTCTGTAATAAAACAAAAGATTATCATATTTCTTCTGCACTGATCGCACATTCGACAAAAATGATTTTTCTGATGATGTCATTATCGATTTCCTTTCGTTATCATCAAATTTCGGAATCTTCGAAACGATTCTTCCATTGATTGGAGCTTCTCCGCGATTTCATCAAATTTTCGTTTATATGAATTTAGTTCTTCAAGCATTTCATTCTTTACCGGTTCGTATTTCTCGTTGTTAGACATTTTTGCAGACAGTTCTGTAAAAGAAAATTTCTTCACATTCCTTAATGGAGGGCAAATTGAAATAGAAAAATCTAGATGGCAACACATTTTTCAAAATAGTAAACTGTTAAATTTTTTCAACAATCTTATTCGAAAAATAACGTAAATAATAAAAACTACAGAAAAAAATGAAGGAGATCAGATTTTTCGAACTTAGACTTAAAAATCTGGAAAAATCGATGAAAAGTACGAATTTGTCGAATATACTTTTCAGAACACAGAAAATATTTGTAACAACTTTAAAAGACGATTTAACAGGTTAATGAAAAAATTAAATTTTCCGAGGAGCTCGAACGTAGTTTGATGGTCATAATCATCGACATTTTCGGGAATTACAGATCGTATATCTTCAATCGACTTGATTTCACCCATACTTTTTTCTTTCAATTTCTCCATGTGATATCGGGAGGCCAATTGTAATTTTTTCTTCAACGTTTTCTTGGATTTTTCTAGAAGAAATTCTTCACATCTTCTTTTGGCTGTTGGAGCATCGTACATATCAGCAAGAAGAGTCACACCTTCTACGGTAGTATCTGGAAGAGGAAATCGTTGAAAAATCAATAACTCGATTTTTGTTACCATCAATAGAAGGTTCTCCGTAAAGAACTTCCAGAAAATGCTGAAAATCTTCTGGCTCAATTCCGGTCAGTGGGATTTCGGTCATTTTGGATTCACTGAAATTTCCAAGGAAAAGAGCCTTGAATAAGGAAGATTGAGCGGCGAGGTACTGAAAAGTTTGGAATTTTTTCAGTATCAATAAGGAAATTTGAACCATTTTTGAGACATAGAATTTGGTGTCCTTCACCACCAAAATCACATCGGAGACGTCTTTTTGTGATTCATCGAACTTTCGAATCCTCTTTTTTTCGAATCCAGTCATTTTTAGAATCTCAATTTCAACTTCAGCTGTCAAATTATCATTGATAAGATAATCGTTTAAATCTCTCAAGTCCAGAAAGTTTCCGAACCCATATTCTTCTTCCGTTTTAAAACAGTTTCTTGCGGTTTTGATAACATTGTTGTTGTTATTTCCCATCATTCTGAACTCCACTTTTGTGTCAATCGACCAGTCATCTCCGACAGGGGCAATGGTCTTGAAATAAAAATAAAATTCGAGAAAACTTTCATTGCGTTCTATTGCCATGTACCTGAAATGCAAAAAAAAACTGTTCAGGCTGGAAATTGATAAAATAAAAACTACCAATTAATATTGAAATGCTCGACACCTCCGGCGGAATAAGAGACATCGTTTCCTAAATTCACGACATTTTTGAAAACATGCTTCAACACAAATCTTTTTCCAGATTCTAGTTTTTTGTTGTTTCGATTCTGAAATAAACAGAAAATATTATTTTGTTCCAATCGAATCTCACATTCAAAACATTTGAATCTTCTATCAATTTCTTCTCGTCGTCATCAATTTTTGGAATTTTTGAAATAGATTCTTCGATCGATTGCAGCTTTTCCGCGATATTATCGAATTTCCGTTTATGTGAATTTAGTTCTTCAAGCATTTCTTGCCTTACTATTTCGTCTTTCTCGTTGTTAGACATTTTTGCAGAAGATTCTGTAAAAGCCCAATTCAAAAATTACTTGAAAAAATTTCGTCGAATTTCTGCACTTTCTTCAATAAATGACAGATTAAAATAGAAAAATCTAGATGGCAACACATTTTTTCAGAAATAGTGAATATGTCAATTTTTCTCAACAGTTTTATTCGAAAAATAACGAAACAATTACAACAGAAACAACAGAAAAGATAAAAAAAAAGAAAAATGGAAAAAAGTCAATTCATTCAAAGAAGCCGTCCAAAAATCAACGATCTAGTTCTATCCGACAATTTCTCGAATTCCGGAAACTTTTTCAGTTTTCTAGCCTTTTCCAATGAATTCATTTGGCTGACACACTTCTCCAGAAGCATTGGCATTAGATATTCATCAGCCAACCGTAGCATTTTCTCACATCCGATTTTTGAATTGTTGAGAAGATGATATTCAACGATTCTAATGACTGATGGCACTTGGAAACGACTAGCCATTTCAAGAAGTTTCTCGACAGTGTAATCTGCAAATGTTGTAGAATTTTTCGCCGAAAAATCGCCAAATTACCATTTGGAAACTGTGGATTTGGATAGAAACTGGAGAGGAGAAGAAATCTTCATAAGAAACGTCTTTGATTTCGATTTCTTTCTGTCCATCTTTCAATTCTTCGGAATTTGGTAGGCGAGGAACTGGAAAAATTGGAAGAATTTGGAAATTTTCTAGAAGTTTCTGAGATTACCGCTTAATTATGGGGTTATTCATTTAGCGAAAATATGTATTGAATTGAAATGCATTTCCGCGCCCTCGAAATTCAATGCATGAGCGTCGCGAAATGTATTTCAAAGCATTTCGCGACATAACTGTAAATGCGAGACCGTACAAATCGGGGAGACACCCAAAAGCGGGAGACACGAAAGCGGGAGACACGAAAGCGGGAGACGAAATTGCTTACCGTACCACCGTTAATTCCCAAACCGAGAGTAACTAAGCGGCCGAAAATGATGTTCAGGAGCATAAAAAAGGTCTCAAATTTTTTTAAAACATATTTTCATTTATCTCTGGTATTTTATTCACAAATTTACTGAAAAATAGCCTAATTTTTTACAGCGGAACGGTGGATTACGGTAAGCAATTGCGTACTTTCTCCCCTTTCGTCTCCCGCTTTCGTGTCTCCCGCTTTCGTGTCTCCCGCTTTTGGATGTCTCCCGGATTCGTACGGTCTCGTAAATGCATTTCAATACATATTTTCGCTACATGAATAACCCCATTAGCATTCAACTTCTTTCCACTTACAACAAGAACTGCATCACCACAGTGTTTGTTTTTCTACCTTTTCAAACGCGCCTTCATGAGAACGCAGCCAAATTGATGGCTGAGGATCAAACGTTTTGTTTCGTTGTCTGCGTCTCTTCACCGAAATTTCGTCTCTTCACCGAAATTTTCTGCCTCTTCACGGAAAAAGATCTCTCGTTTTAGGGGAGAATTTTTCCCTTTTGAAAATTTGAAAAATCTTAGCCCCATCCCTTTATCAATAGAGCGGATTTGCAAAGGTGAAAAAATAAACCCGAGACCCCGCAAATTCCGGAGAAAAAAAATTTCCGGGGAAAAAAAAACTCCGGAGAAAAATGGGCGGAGTCAGGGGGCGGAGCCTAAATTGCAACCCTGGCACGGTTTTGCCCGCATGGATTTTTCTCATGACAGCATCCAAATGTGCTATAAAACCGTGCGGCAAAAGCGGTTGCAATGTAAGCTTTCAGATTCTCGAAAAATTTTGATTTTAACAGTGTATTACGGAAAAATGTAACAATTCTTGACCAAATTTTTGACAAATCATTGAACAACGTACTTTTGGTAACAAAATAAATGAATATTCGCAAAACCACAGCAAAAACGAGCGATGCTGACACAAAAAGTTGTTTAGAAAAATGACTGTAGCTGAAAGGCGCACAACACAAATACTGAGAATTTTTCATGTAATTTTTTACGATTTTTCGTCACCTTTTCAGGGACTTTTTTCAAAGGTCTGAATACGAAAAGTTGGATATTCAGAAATTTGAGGATTCGGAAAGTCTGAAATAAGGAAATACAGAAATTCGAAAAATTAGAAATTTGGAAGTCTGAAAACTCTTTGATTTTAGAATCCAGAAAGGTGTTTCAAATCTGAATCTCTAAGTTTTCCTTAGTTTCTTCCTTAAATTCTAAGCGCTTGAGTTTTTGAGTCTTCTAAATTCCGAAATTCCGAGTGTCTAAGCTTCTGAATATTAGACATTTTGATTTTCAGAACTTTGTTACTTTCTCTGTTTCCAATTTTCAAGCTTCCGTGTTTTTGACTTTTTTTTTCAAAAATCCAGAAAATCGTAAGTTCGGGAAATTTGAAATTAAAAGTTTCGAAAGTTCGGAAGTTTGTTAGCAACATTTATTTGGCAAAATCAAACCTTGTCCACTTTGATCTTCTGAAGCAAGGCGAAAAACAAAAACACTCGTCATATCAGAGTAATCTGACACTTTTGAAGCATTCACAGTACTAGGATATTTGAAACTTTCAGAACATCTCATTATCTGGACAAGTGCAAATGTTGATATTTCTTTTTTCGATCCATGATGATCTGAAATATTTCTTTTTCGAAGCCAATTTTCCTTTCCAAATTTTGTTTTGCTCAAATACCCATTTTCCACTATACACCTACAAATTCAAAGACAAAATTGAATTTGTTTATAATAAATTCGTATTAATAGTAAGTAGTGCTTTGGAACGAGTGAGTGGATTGATATAATTTGATAATACTGATTGTGGTGGGAATCTAGAAAGTATAATGTTTCATTGAATTACCAGTCACCTGATCTGGCTGGTGCACCTTCGGCGCGTTTTAGAAAGTGATGAAATTTCAGTTTCAGTACCAAATAATGATCTTAGAAAAGTTTTGGAAAGTTTCAAATAGTTTTAAATTCCCAAATTCCCGAACTTCCGATTTTCTCAATTTCTGGGTTTCTGAATTTCTGAATTTCCGAATTTCTGAATTTCCGATTTTCTCAATTTCCGGGTTTCTGAATTTCGGAATTTCTAGATTGTTGCATACTTTCAAAAGTTTTAGAATATAATATTTCAAACTCCACAATTCTCAAAGTTTTGATAGTTTGTGCTCGTATTCTGAGCTTTGTTGTCATCTGAATACTTGAAACATTAAAACTCCTTTTGCTATCCGAAATTTGATCAATTTGTCACCCCTTTTCTCTTTTGTTTCTTCGGAATCTGCACGTGTACTCTTCTCAACAAAAACGTGAATTTTGAGATCTTCTGAAGCCTCTTATCCAATTGTCTATCTTCGAGAGGATTCGGGCTTTTTTAAGCGATGACACATTTTTCTGGAAATCACCAAAATATGTTATGGTTCAATCAAATATTCTGTTTTTTGTCAGTTTTTTCGGTTTTAAATGTTAAAAAAAACGTTGGCGTTGAAGGAATCATCCTGAAAAACATCCGTTTTCTGGACATCAAATATTTTGGCATAAAATTGAAAATTCAGGATTCTGATTCATCAATTTTTCCTTGCAAGACCTCCATAGAAATTTCACACGCCCTCTAAAGAAAATTATTAAATATGAAATCATTAAAGAGCACATCTGGAGCACTTTTGAATATGGCAGAGACAGGAAATGTGTTCTGATGTTCATCACATTAAATATCATCATCATTTTTAATCTACCGTAATCCAACAAATCAGACACTCTCGGTTCTAAAAAAATCCCAATGGAACACATGTTTTCTTTTCCAGAAAAATATCTTTTTCTGTGAATTGCTAATAGAAAAAATCTGGAAAAGAGTTCCGCCACACAAAGCTTCCGTTGTGCAACACAATACAAAAAAAGAAAGTAGAAAATGAACACAAAGGAAACCCGGGAATTTCAAAAATCAGTTTTTTTTCTTCGTTTTTTTCGAATTTTCTTACGAAAATCGGCGGAAGTGACGAGCAATTATGAGAAAATGGTCTGGAGGTGAAAAAAGAATTAGCAAACCAGAAAACATTTGAAAAGTTTTCGAAGAAAACCTAACTTTCAAATTTGAGCCAATTTATCTCGGTTCCTGTCTAAGATATCAAAAAATGGTCCAATAAAAAATTGTTTACCATAATATCACAAATATTTTATCAGTTGACACATTTATGATATCCCTCACGGGAACCCAGATTAATTGGCTCAAAGTTAAAAGTTATGGGCCCTTCTATTACAGGTTTTATGGTATACGAATCAAAAATAAATTGTTGGCGCAAAGAAATTCTGAAAAACTTTGAAAACTCAAGAAAAAATACTTGTCTCTGCAAAACTGAAATTTTTAAAGTATAAGTTTTTTAAAGATGGAACCTTCTTGAATTTTGCCAAAATAGTCTAGCTAGCAAAGGAATTTTGAAAAGGTGTGGAATCTGGCAGTTTGAAATTCGAGGAATTTTGTATTAGATGCCGAGTAGAAACGAATTTTCAGATTTTCCGATTGAAATTTTTCTAGATGTTTTTCTTATGGTACAAAAAATCGGAGCTAGTGGTCGCGGCCAAGAGTCTCACAACCACAACTACCGTAACCTAAAAATATGTTTATTTTCCGGATTGAATTTTTTGGAAAAACTTGTATAACTGTTTTTAAGTAGTATATATGGTTTTGTAGCACAGAAATTTGAATTTGACGCGTTGAGAGCTTCAAAATGAATGTATGCATGACCTACTTTACTCGATTTGGGGGTCCGGTGGTACCTCTGGGATTACTGTAGTTTTCACGGCGAGACTCAACATCCAGAGAAACTAGTCTTGGTTATAATCGTTTTGAAGCTCTCAAGTTGATATCAAATTCAAATTTCTACCTTTCACGACTACTGTACTTTTAAGCCATTTTTAAAGTTCACTGTCGTGGGACCATCAACCACTGCCACTTAGAATAATAGTGGATTTTTTTTTCTGGAAGATATTCAGGAATGGAATCAGCTTATCATTTTACAAGAAGTTTGGGAATGCAACCCCCAAAAAGTCGAAATGCTAAACAGAAATACCCATTGCTGCTAAAAACTCCAATTTCCAATTTTTCAAAACATTTCAGAGAAAATCTAAAAACAAAAGAAACGATTTATTACAGAAAATTTCTCTCTCAAAAGGTCTTATTCATTATTATCATCGTTATCATTCCGATTTCTTAAATTTTCATCACCAATTTGGTTGAGAATTGAATCGGAATTGCTGATTATCCGAACCGTATCCTCGATAGAAACTGTTCTCGTAGCCATCATACGCAGCTGGATCCGACCGAATCAAACGAATCGAACGGTTTGGAAGTTCGAATAGAGCTGAAAAGATTGTTTTGTTTTTCTTCTAACCAATTCTCATTGAATATTCTAAACTTTTTTCTCACTTCTTTTTTATTTAAGCACATGTTTTTTAGAAGAAGACATTTAGGTGACTAACTGATGACGTTGATGAAAGTTTCGAAATTAAAATTCCGTTCGGGAAAAGAAGAGTATAGGAAATTAGTATTCCGAAGATTAAAAGTCGACATTTTTTGCACAGAAATAGAAAAAAGAAGGAGAAGGAGACTTTTTGAGATGGGCGATACCTCTCTAGCAAAAATAAATGTTCCATGAAAAGAGAAATTTGACACCTTGTGTCAAATTAGTAGAATGAAATTCAAGATTCGAGTCTAGTTTAGTTATAAGAAATTTAAGAAAAATCTTATTTGGCCCAATAAAGCATATTACTGGTCTTCTTGGATTTTGAAGGGTTTTAGGATTCGTGGATTTTGTGGTCCGAAAAGATCCCAAAAGGTCCCAAGAGGTCTGCATACTTTCGAACCTGGGTACTATTTGCAATACTGTATCTTGTCTTTGAGCAAAGTTACAGAAGCCGAAAAAAACCACCAGGCTCGGCTAGGATCAACCACGTTATAACCTATAACTTTGTTCATAGGCAAGATACAGAACCCCAAACAGTATCATTTTGTAGTACTCGTTGAGTTCTACAAGATCTAATATAGTTGATTTTAAAATATCGATTTCAAAAGCAACTATGGGCCCGCGAAAGCCGGGCAGGATCATTCAAAGTATGCAGACCTCTTAAGATCTTTTTGGGATCTTTTGGGACATACAAATCCTAGAATCCAAGATCCACAAATTCTTAAAGTCTTTACGATTCAAGAATTCTAGTAAAATGAAATCCTGAAATTTTAGAATTTCTAACAATTTTGTTTTGATGAAAAATTTCAATTATTTCATTCAATTCTTCAAACTTCTCAGAATTTCAAAAATCATTCATAATTGATTAATTTCTCATTTTTCAATTCTATGAAGTTCAAATACTCCCTTTTTTTCTAGGAAATTTCTATTCGTTTTGTGTTTTCCTGATAAATACAAAGAGCAAAACCTCATTTACCGTAAACACTCTATTAGAAGGTCATCCAACTTTGAGCCCATATATCTCGCTTCTTGGGAAACATATAAAAAATTTGTCAACTAAAAAATTTTTTTGATATTATGATTAACATTTCATCAGTTTGCGACCTTTTGATATCTTTCACAAGAACCCAGATAAATTGGCTCAAAGTTAAGAGGTTTTTGACCTACCAGGAGCTGCTGACACTGCCAGAACGCTGACGGCGAGCAAGGCGAAGAACATCTTGCACACGAATCCCAACATGTTTGTAGTTTCCCCGGTTCCTAGAAAATAAAAAATTATGGAATGGCATAAAAAGAAGGAAAACATGTACATAATAATAAGATTTAGTTCCGGTCTGAACCACTTAGTAAGAAGGAAATTGGATTAAAACATTAAATGAATGAGAATGTGTATTCCAGAAAATTTCTATAAGAAAACTGAGATTCTGAACCTCCTCCTCCTCCTTTTTAAATGATGTAGCCCTACTTGCTCCGTGAGCACAAAGGGGCGGAGCTTAGGGAAAGTGGGCGGAGTCAGGGTCAGAAGAGAGATGAAGAGGGGAAAAAGAGAAAAGTGCGTGGTACTAGAAAATGTGTGTGGAATTTCAAATAAGATTTGATTAGGTAGAAACATAAGGAGGCGGAAATAACATCATTCAGAATCAGAGAAGAATGGAAAAATGAATGGAAGGATTCTTGATTTTTAAAAGTTGCACATCCTTCTTTTTTCTCTTCATTGTTGGAATGCAAAAGAAAGAAGAAGAAAGAATAAGAAGAAGAAAAATAAGAAAACGCGTAAATTGAATTCTGGAACACTAAAAAGTTCTCACCAAGAATTAATTAAAGTCAGTGGGAAAGTTTAGACAGCAGATCTAACAAAAACGATTTGAATAGATCAAAAGTATGGAGAAAATGAAAAGAAAAATTCGGAATTTTAGAATTCTGGAAATTCCACTATTATGAGATTTTTTTGTACAGAAAGTCATGTAGATTCACATAAAAGCTAAGATGATTTCTGAATTTCTGAATTTCTGAATTTCTGAATTTCTGAATTTCTGAATTTCTGAATTTCTGAATTTCTGAATTTCTGAATTTCTGAATTTCTGAATTTCTGAATTTCTGAATTTCTGAGTTTCTGAATTTCTGAATTTCTGAATTTCTGAATTTCTGAATTTCTGAATTTCTGAATTTCTGAATTTCTGAATTTCTGAATTTCTGAGTTTCTGAATTTCTGAATTTCTGAATTTCTGAATTTCTGAATTTCTGAATTTCTGAATTTCTGAATTTCTGAATTTCTGAATTTCTGAATTTCTGAATTTCTAAATTTCTGATATTCTGAATTTCTGAAATTCTGAATTTCTGAGTTTCTGATATTCTGAAATTCTGAATTTCTGAGTTTCTGAATTTCTGAATTTCTGAATTTCTGAATTTCTTAAATTCTCAACTTCTGAAGTTCTGAAATTCTGAAATTCTGAAATTCTGAATTTCTGAATTCCTTAATTTTTGACTTTTCAAGTGAATCTAAATACTACAAAAACGCAACAATATAAATTTTACCGTATACCTGAAAAAATTTCAAAAAACCTAATTCTTGTAACTTCCGGAAAAAATTTTATCGAATATTTTCAGAACGCTATTTTCTTCAAATCCCTCCATGTTCATCCTGATTAATTCATGATTCCCCGAATCCTCTTTCAAATGAAAATGCTACAATAACATTCTGATAATCTGAAAATCTAGAAATCCCAGATTTCTGTAGTAATCCTGATGTTGATGCTGGGAAATTGTTAGTGAATCACACATACATGAAAAAGAGGAAAACAATGATTATTAAAAAAAAGAGAAAGAGAACAGTTTGAGAAGGGGATTTGGGAAGAAGACAAAAAGGGAAAATGAGTAAGTGGGAATTTTCATGTCAGAAGGGCATTATGATTTGTGTTCTTTTTTTCATTGTTCCAGGTTTCAATTAAGATAAAGATCAGGTTTATTAAATGATAAGGAAGTGATGTCAACGACTGTCTAGTGTCGCATTTTCGTGCTCATTTTTGTTGTGATAAAATACGAAAAATAACATAACTAACATTTTGAAACTTTTGGGCAACATCGAAAAACAACAGAAAGGCTGCAGCTTCTGTTTCTGGGAATCCCATGAATTTTAGATATTCTAGGTACTATTCGTTTGACAAGGGAAACAACTATTTCATCTTTTGATCCAAAAAAGGAAATTTGGATTTTGAAGTTTCAAGATTCAATTTCAGAAACAGTGTGTGGTTTTATGTGTGGTTACCAACTTTTATGATCTAGGAATGGTCCCACATGGTGTGTCTTTATGCATGTTGGCCTAACTTTCTTAACATGTTTTTTCTAGGCCACCGTAGTTGATGGTCGAGAAATGGTCTAACATATACCTGTGTGTTTTCTATACCATTCACCATGGTGGCCTAACTTTTACAAACTGAATTTTCTAGATCACCGTAGTTGATGGTCGAGAAATGGTCTAACATATACCTGTGTGTTTTCTAGGCCATTCACCATGGTGGCCTAACTTTTACAAACTGAATTTTCTAGACCACCATGGTGATCGACCTACATATTGCCTGATATTCAGCTGGTATGTTTTTAAGCCATTTTAACAGGGTTACCTAACTTATGCACAAATTCAAAAAATCTACAACTACTCTAAATGATTAGTTCAATAGATAGTGTCTACGATCTCCACCCTCTTTATAATCTTTTTTCTTCTTCCCCAAAAGGTTTAGGATCATCCGACAAAAGATTATGAGGATTGAAGAGAAAAATACAGCTCATGATCCGCCGATTTGGTTTTTAATAGAAGACTAAACCACTCCAATGAAATTGAAAAATCTGAAGAGGGAGGCGATTATTGGCCTAGTCTTAACAGTTCTATAAAAACCAAGAATTCCAAGAAGTTTTTACATATTTTTTCACATTTTTTCGTCTGAAAAGTGACTAAAAATGCTCCAAAACTTCTGGAATTTTCAATTCATTTTCATCATTTTCTGCTGGATCCCAATTGTATTCTCGGATGAGGGGGAGATCGAAAACAACCAAAAAATCATAGTGAGTTCATATTTTTCTTCTTTGGAATTGACGCAATTCATAAAGAGCAGGGTTCAAAATTTGTAGGAACCACATTTTGTAGTAGTAGTACTATGACGACTGAAAAACGGCTGAACAGCGGGGGGAGATGGATGGATTCTTCTCTGTAATTGGGTCCACACAAAACATGTGGCTTCTCAGTTTTCTGAATAAAAGAAAACAAGAGAATGAATCATTCTTTTTAGGGAAACAAGAAGGAAAAGGAGGAAAAAAGGAGAAGGAAATAAATAAATAAATAGATGGATAGGTCATTTAGACTATAAATTGAGGTAATTTTCAGTTGAAAATCGGAAGTATCAGCACGAGAGAAAATGGGAAAATGTTGATGAGCATCATGGAGATGGCCAAGAAAAAGATGACTGAGCAAGGAGTTTTGGGGACAGATTTTGGTATTGAGTGAGTTTTTTGCTGAAGGATCGACAAGGCTGTAACTTCCTGATGATCCACAGACACCGTAAAAACCTGTATCAAAAACGTTCTTTCAAAAGAAGGGTCCTTCTAATAGAAGACCCCTCCGGAGGAGCAATAGAAATGCCGGAACTTCTAATACAGATTTTACGGTGAAAGCGTTTGAAAAAATTTATTGAAAATTCGTTCATGGCTATTTCCTCTATTAGAAGCCTGCCCAAACCGCTAACTTTGATTTCAATTATCTCGATTCCTAAGAAAGGTATCAAACATTTGTCAACCGATAAGTTATTTATCATGATATCACTAATACTTTATCAGTGAGCGGAACATTGATATTTTTATCAGGAATCGAGATAATTGAGCTCAAAGTTGACGGTTTCTTGCAATATACACCGTACGGTAAATAATATTTCTAGAACACGAGAAATATCCCAGGATAAAAATTTTTAGCTGAATTAAAAATAAAGAAGTTATAGTAATTTGCAAAAAAATTGGAAAAAACTGAAAATGTTATTTGTTGAAGTTCTACAAAACGAATGCATATTTGAAGGAAGAAATTCAAATTCTGAAATCGTTCGATTAAAAAAAAATTGAAATAAAAATAACAAGAATAGGTAAATAAGCATATAGCTTATCATATACAGTACCGGTCAGTAAAGTATACAACAACGTACTTTTCAGTTGATTATCAGCAATTTTGACCATATTCAGGAGTCTGGAGCTCGGCTATCAAGTTTCCGATCCCTTAAAAAAATTTGGAGGGTGTAAAACAGACCTAAATTAAAAACTTCGCATTCATAGAAATTTTTGCAAATTCCTAGTTGTTCAGATATTGCCCATTTCTGAACGATACTCTTTTCGGACCATTTTCGAACTGAAGAATGGTGTTTTTCAGAATTCGGCAAATGCTGAAAAACCAAGAGTTTTCAAAAAACTCTGTGAATGCAAAGTTTTCAATCTAGGAATGTTATATAACCTCCAAAAATTTCAAAGTGATCGGGAGCATGACTTCTGAAAATGACTGGAAATCGACTGAAAAATACTTGTTTTTGTATATCTCATCGACCGGTACTGTAGCTTATCATCACATAACTAACTATATGATTCAATGATTCAGAAACCCTCAATCTTATAAAAACTAAAATATTTTTTCTCAGAATTCTAAATGTGGAAGGATGTGGATCTTCGTTTGAAGGCGTCGCTGGCGCCGCAGAACTCTTCCATGTTCAGCATATTGACGCATTTTTTGGACCATTCTGTTCAAAAGGTTAGTTTTAAAAAGAGATCATTCAGGTCAACTTCCACAAAAAGGTAGAGACAGAGAACAATAAAAATAATGGGAGGAAAATGGAAAAGTAATTGAAGTCGTGACTTTTTGAAACTTCCACTTTTTTCCTTTTTCAATGTCGTCATTATAGCCGGAAAAATTCATCATGAAAAAAAGAGGAACAGGGGGACTTTTTGACGTACTTACTCATTCAGAATAATTAAGTGTATTTTGGACTTTGAATATTAATTAAGTTCTATCTTCTAGGCTGGAAAATAATTTCTTGGCTGGAAACTGAATGCACTTTAAAGCAGAAAATATAGATCCTGAAAAAAGATATATAAACGCTTTCTCCGAATCCGTTGACTGGCTTCTTAACAGAACTGATTCAACAGAGTTTGAAAAAAGAAGTCTACTGTAATAACATCTTTTTTCAGAACTATCTCCTGTTGCAACCATGGCTTCCTATTGGAATATCCCCATATTTGCCTACACGGCCACATCCGCTGAATTCTCGGATTCCAAAGTCTACAAGACCTTGCTCAGAACCTCCTTCCAATCTCTCTCCTCGATTTTTGATGCCACCGCCGCCTTCTTAATACATCACAATTTCACTAAAGTTGCAATTGTGGCGAACATCGGAACGGATTCCTTTGAAAGAATTCAAAGCCTTGAGAAATCATTAAAATCTCGAGGAATCACAATCACACGGAGAGTTATGTTTGAAGAGAATTCGAGTGCTGAGGAATTAGTGGAAAATGGGATTACGAATGAGTTAAAGAACAACGCAAGAGGTAATATCAAGTATTTTCGTGGAGTTGCTAGAAGAGGTGTCTGGAATTTTATAAGTGCTTTCGGATACGTCATTTTTCTGTAGTTTAAGAGGATAAGTCTATCCGATTTTAAAGATGTTTCCATGACCTATAGAAGATTAAAAAGTTCAATACTGTGGGATGAAATCCATACAATGTGAGATGATGTCGATTTATGATCGTCCAAAGTTCAAAAAATCTGAGATTTCTGGGACACAGAAAACAGACCAAAATGACGCCCAGATTTCCAATACACACAGTTTAAACCAGTGCCACCGTACACCTCTAGTGCATTGAGACCAGGGTACCCTTTCAACACGGGCTCCAGACATTTTTCGAAAAAGTCCTTGAGAACTTTTCGATATTTTTCGAAACGGAAACATTTTGGCCTAACTTTCGCAAGTTGGGTTTCCTAGGCCAAAATCTTTTTGACCTAGAAATGGTGGTGGTTTTATGTCATTATTACATGGCGGTCTAACTTTCTCAAATTGAGTTTTCTAGGCCACCATGACAAATGAACTAGAAATGGTCTGATATTCACCTATTGGGTTTTTTTTTCAATTTTAACATGGTCAATTTTAACTTTTGCAAGTTGAGTTTCTAGGTCATTACGTTAAAATGACCTAGAAAACATATTAGACGAATATCACGTCATTTCTAGGCGAAACCCTCGATTTTTGAGACCTAAAAACCCCGACATGCAGGGGGGGGGGGGGGGGGCCACCACGTCAAAATGACCTAGAAAACACACCAGGGTTATGTTGAACCATTTTTATGCCAAAAAAAGGCGGCGGCCTAGAAAACCAAAACTTGCAAAAGATAGGCCATTATGTCAAAATGATTTTACAAAGATCCTCACAAAATTTTTTGATAGCTCGCACTGGTTTCAACTGTGTTTATTGGAAAGCATGAGGATCTAGGCGTCAGAAATCACAGATTTTAGAATCTTGGACGCGGCATGAAGATTCTAGATTATATGAATCATACTTTTCAGTAATCATCCCACTGTTCTCCTCCACTCGTGATCTATCTACCGTATTCCGGAATGCTACAATAATTGCCGAAATGTCGAGCTCCGATTTTATCTACGTTCACCCGTTGATTGTTGCCAAAAACTTTGCGGAACCTTCAACTTTTTATGGGAAACTTGCTCAAAAATCGATGAAAGAAGAGTACCCGGACACGATTCAAATTTACAATTCCTACGGATTTTCGGATAAGCTTCTCAATGAATTTATGTCGATTTTCAATCAGGCATCTAAACGGATTTATATTGATGAGAAGGGTCTATTCAACTATGTTGCACTCTATGAGAGTTTTTGTGTTTTTGCGAAATTGGCTCAAAAATATATACGGTTCAATGGGAAGAATATTGAAGGAAGAAATGGATTTGGGTTGGATGGACAATTAATGCGGAAGATGGCAGTTGGGATGAATTTTGAAGGTGTTTTGGATAATTTCACATTGGATAATGGAGCAGAGAGAATGACATCGTTTAGTGCATTTTATGTGGATTCGAAGAGAGATCAGGTCAGGAAAAATGATGAATCATTTTCATAAATGAGCATTCGGGGCAACGTTGTGGGATTTTTCGCCTTGAAAGGTTCCCAAAGTTATGCATTTTCATAAAATAACTTCAAAAAAATTCAGATAAAACTCGAAATCTCTGAAAAACAAGTTTCAAGAGAGCTCCGTTCCCTCTGTTTTCATGAACTTTTTCAGACATTGATTTGATGTCAACAAGCCTTTTTTTTGTTCTATTCGTCGACTTTTCAATTACCATAAAACCTGTATTAGAAGAGCACCTTTATTAGAAGGGCCCCTCTAATAGAAGGCACCCTGTAATAAAAGGGCCCTCCGGAAGTACCTTGGAAAAATAGAAGGGCCGGCCCTTCTAATACAGGTTTTACGGTAATTTCGTTTTTTTTCTAAAAATACAAAAAAAACGACCGGAAAGGACGAAAAATTCGGGACATAAAAAACAACGCACACTGTTGCCTTGGACTAGGATTCCCGCGACCCTCTTGGACAAGAATCCTTAGCATTTATGGCATTTTCAGGGATTTAGAATTTTTTCAGAATTCTTTTCAGAATAATATTATGAAAATACATTATTTTGGGTACATTTTAATGATTTAGATTCGAACTGTTGCCCTTATCAACTCCACAACCACTACCAAAAACTGCATGGAACCAGTTTGTGTGGACCTGATTGTCTCAGACGTCGTCACCAAATACTGGTCAACGCCTTCCGGAAACTTACCCGACGTTGATCCAGAATGTGGATTCCGTGGAGAAAACTGTGATTATACACAGACGATTGTACTTATCACAGCTGCAACTTGCCTACTGATGACTGCCGGCTTGGCAATTTTGCTGAAAAGAGCTTGCGAAACGAAGGCTCTTGAAAAAATGCCTTGGAGGATTCTGAGAGATGACGTGGAAATTCTGGATGAGGAACAAGCAAAATCTGTGATTTCTTTGGGGTCGGCAACTACAAAAATGTCTCAGGTGGAGACGAAATTGGTCAAGAACCATGCCATAGTGGGGGTCAACACACATGCGATTTATGATATTTTTGAGCAGAGACAGAATATAAAGTTCAAGAGAGAAGATTTGATTTTGCTAACTAAGGTTAGGAGATAGGAAAATCAAAAAAAAATTACTAAAAGTTTTCAGATGAAACAAGCAGTTCATGATAACATAAACCCGTTCATTGGAGTATCATTCAACGAGAAATCCGAACTTTTGCTGCTCTGGAAATTCTGTAGTCGTGGAACTCTTCAAGATGTGATCTACTGTGACAAATTCAATATGGACGAGAAGTTTCATGGTGCATTTGTGAGGGATATAACACTGGGACTGGAATACTTGCACTCGTCTTCAATAGGATTTCACGGTGGATTAGCTTCATGGACAGCGTTGATTGACAAGAATTGGATGCTGAAATTGACAGATTACGCGATTGGAGATCCATTAAAACGATGGGAGAAACATGGAAGAATTAATTGTAAAGTGGATAATGAATCGGAACAAGAGTGGCAAAAAATGGGTGTGTTACAAAAAAGAATATTGTTGTTTCCGAAGTTGTTAGGATCGATTTCTTTGGTCGGAAAATTGCTGAGTTCATGATTTTGAAAAATAGATCTCAAAAATAAAGTTAATCAAAAAGATACAAGGCCAAAGCATCGGGTTGATTAATGACCTAGAACTGAGCTTGTGGCCTAGGAAACCCCAAAATTTTCAGGTGGTCGAACTTAGATGACCTAGAAAACTACAGAGCTTTTCTAACAGTTGCCAGCCTTTGGTTTCCGAACTGATGGCCTAGAAATCTTCAAAACTACTCTGGTGGTCTAAGAAACCCCAAAATCTCTACATGAACAAGTTTTGGTGGACTAAACCCCACCTTTGTTGGCTGCATATTCAGAAAATTAAAGTTGAATTTTCTCTATTAAAACGACTTTTAAACTTTCAGCAAGCCTCTACGTCCCTCCTGAAATTCGAACTGCAAACGAGAAAAATCGAATGAAACGAATGGATCAGAAATGGCAAGCACAATCGATTCTCCGTCGTCAACAATCTGATATCTACGCTTTTGGAGTCATTATTTATGAAATTTTATTCAGAAGTCTTCCATACGATGAAAAAGTGGATCTTACAGGTATTGTATTCAAAATAATCGCGC